AGGTTTCTGTGGGACACACAGGTTGTCAGATCCCGTAATGAGTTGGCTAGGTGACATTGGACCTTAAGAGAGGAGATTGGGATATGGATAAAAATATAGGCATCATCTATTTACAGGTGCTAGTTGAAGCCATGAGATTAAGAACATGTGATGAGACAAGAAAGCTAAGAAAGAAGCATGAGAAAAATTAGTATTTAACAGGTGAGCAAAAGAAGAGAATTTATCCATGGTAACAAACACGATGTTCAGAAAATTAAGTGGGTAAAGGGGAGATTGCAAAGTCTCAGAATAAAAGAGAACAAATAGTTTCAAGAAAAAGGAAGAGATCAACAGAGTTAAATGTCATGAATAACGACAAAAATATTTCTAACACAATACGGCAAATAAGATCATTGATGAATTTTCCTTAAACAGTTTATTTTCTTACACAGTTCACACAAAGAAAAACATGATTGCAGGAGAGTGAAGAGCAAAAATCTGAATGTAGTAGAGTAAAAAGAAAATTAAAAGTGTGTGAAGAAGTAGCCATAGCCGATGAAGACTGCATTTTCAAGGTACTTGTTTTGGGAGAAAAACTATTGGACTGGGAACATTATTTAATGACAGAAGTTTGAGTACACTTATAGGTGGTGAGGAAGGAGTAGTGGAAACAAAAAATCAAAAGAGGAAGTTAACAATAATAGCCCAGCCCAACAGATGGAAGGATTTGATCACCCCTCCACAGCCAATATTTGAGGGATTAGCTTTGATTATGAGACATCTTTTTCTTAAACTGTAGCCATTTGAAACAACTAAAAATCTTTATGTGTACACCTCATCAAAGAAGATACACTGATGGCAAATAAGCATATGAAAAGATGCCCCGCATCGCGCCATCAAGAAAATGCAAATTGAAACAACAATGATGTACCACTACACACCTATTAGAAACAACCAAAATCCAGAACACTGATAACATTAAATGCTGATGAGGATGTGTAGCAACAGGAACTCTCATTCACTGTAGGAATGCAGAATAGTACGGTTTGGTGGTTCCTTACAGAATTAAACATATTCTTACCATATGATTCAGCAATCACACTCCTAGGTATTTACTCAAAGGAGTTGAGAACTTATGTCCATCCAAAAACCTGCACATGCATGTTTATAGCAGTTTATTCATAATTGCTGAAACTGGAAAATAATCAAGCTGTCCTTTAATAGGTAAATGGATAAACAAACTGTGGTATATCCAGACAATGAAATATTATTCAGCACTAAAAATAGATGAGCTATCCAGCCTTGAAAAGACATGGAAGAATCCTAACTGCATATTACTAAGGGAAAGAAGCCAATCTGAAATCTTCTACTATATGATTCAAATTATATAACATATATATATATATGGATACAGCACAAAAATAAGTGGTTGCCATGGGTTGGTAGGAGGAAAGGATGAATATAGGCCCAGAGGATTTTAGGACACTGAAAATCCTGTGTATGATACTATTATGATTGATACATGTCATGACACATTTGTCCAAACCCAAAGAATGTACAACACCAATAGTGAACCCTAGTGTAAACTATAGACTTTGGGTGACTATGATGTGTTAATACAGGTTCATCAAATATAATGTACAATTCTGGTGGAGGATGTTGATAATGGGAAGGCTATGCATGTCTGAGTTGGGAGGAGGGAGGTATATGGGAAATTTCTATACTTTCTCTTAATTTTGTTCTTAACCTAAAACTGCTCTAAAAATAAAATCTTAATGAAAATATTTATGTGGTTATATCATATATATTATATGTCTCAAGATTATGAAATTTAAAAAAACACCTATCTCTACAGTGAAAATGCAAAGAAATTATAAAACTCTTAATGGTGAAGTCACATGCTTTGTTGTACCAGAAACTTAAGGGTTGCTGTTGTTTTGATGACAGTGCTAAGGAGCAGGGAAAGATTTCTTGAGGTCCTAGAATCAAATCACTCATATGATTACATACAATACCTATCTAGGAGCTCTTTCCCTACTAGGCCATTTACTAGCCAAATGTCTTAGTTAGTCATTTTCAATATTTTGGTCCTCCATTTTCTTTTAAACCCAAACATTCAAAATCTCCCGGCCCCTGATACCAAGTTTAAAAAAAAACCTTCTTTTTAAATGCCTGGAAGATTCTCTGAAAGCATAGCTTCAAATGCTAAGTCAAAAACAGCAGAAAGTGATGTGACTGTCTACCTGACACAAATTCTGACCTTTAGATAATATATTATTGGAATAAAGGTGATAAAGAATGGCTTATTCAGAGACACATGATCTAGAAGTTAAGGGATCTTCCATCTATTAAAAATCTATTAGAATTTGGCTATTGTTTATGGTTAATGAAAAACGGAAAGGTTGACTGCTTATTTCATCCTTGGCCTCAAAAGTTCTGTATCTTGGTGAAGTTACCTTGGTCCTCTTAACTCTAACTGTTCAATGACCTCTTGGCTTGCCATTTTCCTGGTTTTTCTTCCCTAACAATCTAATCTTTCAATTTTTAGGAAGTATGATGCTTTGGAGTTTATGGTCCTTGCTTTTTCTGCATATATTATAATAATTGCTAGGGTCTCTCATCTAGTCAGAGTATAATTCAAAAAACTTTACTTAGATATGCATAGAGGTAGAGGACTTACTATATTTTGTGAAAAGGTCTTACAAATTCAGTACGTTATTTCTTTCAATTTGTAGGAATGTAGATGATGGAAGCTGTGAGCCCAGCATAATACTATCAACATAAAGTATTTAACAGCTTGAATACTAACTTATCAAATATTATTTCAAAATGAATTGTGAGAGAAGAGCTTTCTGTATCAACCAATTATATAGCAGCTGCTATGTGCCAGGTATTCTTCTTAGCACTTTTCAAATACTAACTTATTTAATCATTATAAATAACAACAGAATGAGGTAGGTACTGTTATTAACACTAAGAATGGTGCAACAGAGGTTAAAGGGTTAAATAATTTGCCCAAGGCTACATAGCTAGTAAGTACCAAAGCCAAGGTTTACACTCAGATAATTTGACTCTAAAAGATGGTGAACTTACTAGCACACCATGCTAAGTTTTTGCTAAAACAAGGAAAAGAAGTCCTCAAGGAAGTAGCAGAGAGAAGCCTTGAGAGGGGATTTTCCTGTGGCTGGATGAGGGGAGATCTGACAAAAGTTTTCACCTTCCTTTGGAGTTCTCTCTTTTAATCTCTATGGCAATACAGCATGCTGTTTCCTGTCTAAAGCTCTGCTCAGTGATGACCAGAATTAAACCTCTCTGCTTCCACTTGGCACAGTTAAAGCAGGCTAGCATAATTGCAAACATAACTTACAATACCAAGCATAAAAAAGGTTTTTTTAAAGAGAGAAAATCCGAGAAACATAAAATGTTAAGCTAATAAGTACACATATCAGATTCAACAATGACTGAGGTTCATAGACCTTATTATATCCCATATTTATTTCCTTAATAGTTTCTCACTCCAAAGAACTAAACCTCTCCAACTACCTACTCTGTCACCTCATTGAAGGGTTATATTGATGGGAAACAATTTATTCCTTCATTTTGTCAATCGTCTATTTATGGCCTTCTAAGAAAATAAAAAGAGCAGATTCTTCTCTATCACTCTCCTCGGAAGTCCATTTAGTTTCTGATGCAGGTTTTCAGGGATTCTTGCCTGGCACAACTGTAGCCATTGGAAACACTACCATCTACCTAAGTTGGAGCATGTTGTCCACAATATAATAAAATAATATACAGCAATTGTGCAAAAAGGATTACATATAAATAGTAATAGAAATCTTTTCCTGTTCAAAACTATTTCCACAATTAGGTGAGAAATTATATTTAGAATTTTGCTTTTCCTACTTATAAACTTAGAATACATTACTAGAAAAAAATAATATCCAGGTAGCAATTTCTCAGGCTACAATTTTTTGAAGAAAGTAATCACTCAGCACTTAAGAGTCAGAAAGCAAAAATTACATCTACTAATGAATGTGTTGTATTTTTATTAAATGTATTCTATAAAATATTTTACATTTTATAAGTCTGTAGTAGTGTATACAAATCTATAAACTGCATCAGTTAAAATAATGGAACATCTCCACTGTCTCTAAGGAATATGTGGCAGTACATAATTTTCTATCCATTTTTGCCAGTATGGAATTACATAAGATAAGCAACATTTTGGCACCAAATCATCAACAAGAAGGCAAATTTTCACTGTATCTTACTGATGTATTTAACAAGACTTTTATAACTAAGAGGTGACACTTTACTTTTGCATACCTTAGCAATGCATTAATATATTCACTTTAATTTTTATAGTGTACAGATAATTTATGACACTTTAATAATAGGAGAATACAAATAATTTAAAATTCTTGGTGCATGCATTAAAATGACCTTCCCATTTAGATTTAATATTCTATTGGTTCCAACCCCAAAATTAGAAAGTGAGAGGTGAAATGTGGACAAACTCAAAAATATCTTCCTTTAAAGACAAATGTCAAGGAAAACTCGAACTTTTCTATATAACGATAGCACAATGACTTTCAAAGTTCCATATTGAAGCTCCCACACACAGCAAACTTGATGGTCCTAAACTGATGTCCCTTCAAAAGTTCAAGGGTTGAAACAAAAAACAGAAGTTTTGCTTATAGAGCCTCAAAAAGCCTTAAACTGCTTTAACCTCCTAAGGACAGATTATGCCTAGGAAAAATTTGCAGGGTCTCCAAATCCAGGTTGGTATATGCATGTCAGTGATCAATGTGGTTTTTGAGGAATAAATACATTCTTTGCAAGCAGCTGAAAAGCAATTATGCTAAGAAAGACAGAGAAACTTTTTCCTTGACTATTATCAAAGACAAATAGCCTAGATGGCATAGGATTTTGCATAGTCACTTTTTTTTTGTTTTAATTTAGAATAAAAAGACCAAAAGGGTTGGAAACAGGATTTTCAAATGAAAAATGGACAGACTTACTGGTACATGCCATGGAAGGTGGGTCTTGTTCAGCTCGAAAGTAACCCTTTTCACACTGACAGACAGAAGTTGCTTCCATGTAGGTTAAACTGTGTGGAGGACATTTAGAACACTTTGTGTTGCCAGCAAATGCTTTATAGAATCCTGGTCTGCAAGCTGCGAACATAGGAAAAACAATATTTTTTATTATCGCTTATTTTATTTGTATGTGTACAACATATTTTAACTTATACACACTTTGGATGTCAGAGTTCAGTTCACACATACACAGAAAAGTCAATACATGCTAATATTAATGAATGAAATTAGTAATTCAAAATAAGTTACCCAATGGGGACTTCATATTTTAGCTGAGGTTGCTACTTTTAAAAGGCATACTTGAAACAAAAATATGCAAAATAACAGTGCTTACCAATGTATGGGAATGCCCACATTAAGGGAGACAATTGTGTAGCTCTGGGAGATGGCATTAAATAACATTGAATCACACCCTTTAAAATTGATTTCCATTCCATTTCTCCCTCAGCTCTTCTGAGTATTTAAGGAGAAAGTCCCAGGGTAGTGTGGGTATATCTTTAACATCTTCCTTACAGGCTAAATATTTTTTGAACAAAATGAGAGCTGACCTTAGACTCAGATTGTAGCAGGACATAGCTATAGTTTGATAACACTGCTTCATTTTTATCAGGATCATTTTTTATTTTTCTGTGGCAAACAATTTTCTATTTATTATATTGAAATAAATTCATTTAAAATTTTAATTTTAAAAGTGGGTAGACAAAATATCAAGTAAATAAGGTATATTTGTTATGCACATATGACAAAAATCATGAAAACTGTAGGCTAATGACTAAATTTTTACAAAACATAATGAAAATGAAATGTAAGTGACTAAAGTTATGCTATCAAATGTTTCACTGAACCTCATTTTCTATTCACTTAAATCCATGTTGTCATTTTCACTGAACATTTTCATAGGAATGGAAGTCCTACAAAAAAGGATCCTATGATAAGCTACACATCCGGGGTCCTGAATGGTGGGGGGTTTAATTGTTTCTAGTCTCAAAGAAATGACTGCTGGCCACTTTCTAAATTAAAACTGTTATACAAAATAAAAAAAGTGTAATTTTCCAGTGACAAATATTATGCTAAAAAATATTTTAACAAGCTATGTATTTTAACTCAACACATTTTCACAAAATGTTCTATGTAAAAATAAACAAGAATCTTAATTTAACAATAATGAATCTATGAGTAAGGCTTCTGCTTATATATTCAGGAAGGAAAAAAAGTATTTGAAATCTGATACATATTTTATATTTAGAGCACATTCCAATTAAAACTAGCCACATTTCAAGCATGCAATAACCTCATGTGGCTGGCTAGTGGCTACCGTATTGGATAGTGCAGTTTTGAACACAGAAATCTGTTCATTACATCTCCTTGTATAAAAATCTTTGATGACTTCCCATCATCTTTACATTAAAGTTTAAAATATTTACCTTGGATTACAAGTTTACCCATGGCTTGCCTACAGTTCACCCATGGCTTCACTCTGCCTACAGTTCCAACCACATCAGATAAAGCTGCTTCCCTCTCAAACTCCCTCTGTTAAGGCTTTGCCCTTCTACTGTCTATTCTCAACTCAGCAGGCAGTGATCTTAGAAAATACATCAGATCATTTTATCACTGGGCTCTGGGCCTTCCAATGGCTTTCCACTCTCCTAGAGTAAAGCCAACTGCCCTATTAATTGCCTACCATGCATTGCATGATTTTGCTCCCCATCCATTCCCTGTGACCCTGCTTTGCATCTTCTACCTCTTTTTTTGTATCAAGCAGTCTGCTCCAGCCACACTGGCCTCCTTCAGAATCTTGGGCATCCAAAGCATTCTCCTGCCATTGGGCCTTTAGTACTTGCTCTTATCCAACTGTCTGTATGGTTTTCTACCTCCCTTACATCAGGTCTTTATTCTAACATTACCGTATTAATAAAGCCTTCCCCGATTCCCCTTTTTATATTGCAACTCCTGCTACATCCTACCCGAGTAATCCATATTACCCTCCATTCTTATTCCTGTCTTCAAAGAACTTAGCAACATCTGACACTAGATATGTTTAATTTTTTAAGCCATTTCCCCTTAAAATGTATGCTCTATGAGGGTAAGAGATTTTTTTTTTGTCTTTTGTTTACTGAAGTGTTTCCAGGGCCTAGAACAGTATCAGGCATTACTTGGCCCTCAATGAGTATTTGGTAAATGAATGAATGAATGAATGAATTGCTGAGGGACTCCATTAATTTCTGAGTTTACTCTGCTCTTTGTTCTGCTTTGAGCCTTTTCCTCTGTTGAACAATCTCTTCTCTCTATCCCCACCCTACGACCCACTCATCTTGCTGACTCCTAGTCAACTTTCAAGTCTCACTTCTTTTAGAAAGCTCTACCTGGGCTTCCCTGGTGGCGCAGTGGTTGGGAGTCCATGTAGGGGACGTGGGTTCGTGCCCCGGTCCGGGAGGATCCCACATGTTGCGGAGCGGCTGGGCCCGTGAGCCATGGCCGCTGAGTCTGCGCGTCCGGAGCCTGTGCTCCGCAACGGGAGAGGCCACAGCAGTGAGAGGCCCGCGTACCGCAAAAAAAAAAAAAAAGCAAGAAAGCTCTACCTGACTCCCTAGACTAGTTTCTCTAAGCACCTGTGCCTTTTCCATGTTAGTAATCCCTTGGCAGTTATTTGTTTAATGGCTGTAAGTGCCACAAGGACAGTTTGGCACAGTGCTTGTCATAAAGTCGGTGCTTGGTACTTATTTGTTTTATTGAATTGGACAGCATGTGAGTACTCTGCTAATTAAATTCCTGCAGAAGATAATGCGTGTCTACTCAGTGCATGTTCTGATCATGGCATAATTCATCTCACTACAAATTTATAGATTTTTTTTTGGCTTGTTGCATTACTCTAAGTAAGGGATGGAAGCAGGTAGTAAAAATCTTGAAACTGATTCAACTACAACTCAAGAATGATTATTTTAATATTCCAATTGAAACAAAATCTTTCCAATTAAAATTACTATCCATGTGAATTTTTTTTTTTTTCCTACTGCAAAACTACAAATACAAATTGGATATTGTTGCAGCAACTCTCAAGTCTATCCCTGATTTCAAATGCTTGTTAACTCAAAATTGCCCTTGAAAACCTTAAAATTTTGAACTTATAAAATATATTTGGATTCTTAAATTACTACCTTATTTTAATATTAGGGTTTAGTCTACAATTTCATTTAAACATTAATGATGATGCTGTTAAAATGTTAGAAAACCACTGTTGTAGGCAGTAACATTCTTCTTATATAGCACACATTAATGGTATACAGCATGCACTTCTGTTTTTAGCCTGAATCGTATTATACAACTACTTGATCATGTTATCACCTCAACTTCTTGTAACTGCCACAAGCCAGACACGGGCCTTACCATTCTTATATCTACAATGCTTTAGCATATTTTGAGTATATATTTAAGTTTTTATAAATGCCTGAAAAGTTGAATGAGTGAATAAATAAGTGATTAATTCACTAATGTCTAATATGAGATTACTATAATTCTGTAAATAGAATGAGCATGCTGTATATCTTTTAGTTAGTACTTTTAGGTTTTGTTTGTATTTGTTAAAAATGGGATATCAGTCCCTACATCTTGAGAACTTTTAAATTACTTTCTTGTACATCCCTTCTTTCTCTACCACTTCCTTATTTCTCTGTTTATAGGGTATGTGAACTTCATTTCCAAAAAACAAACCACCCAAAATAAGAATGTTTCCCAACATATATCAATACTGCACATGGAAAGTAAAATATTATCTGATTCAGTGGTTTCTAATGTTTTCTTTTAGAAGGAGCTATTCAGATATCGACTTTCAGATTAAACCTTCATTTTAGTACCTCTCAATTTCTCTATATTTCTATATTCAAAACATTCATGACTATATATATATACATATATATATATATATGAGATCATAACATGTATGTTCTTTTTGTATGAACATTTACTTTAAAATGTCATTTAGAAATCTGGCTTATTACCACCTTTTCTTCCTTCTTTCCTCTTCAAATATCATTTTCCTAAAATGTCGACACACCGCTGTGTAGATATATGTTTACATATTTATGAACAGAAGGATTTAGTGTTATTGATTTTTCAATATTGAGATAATATCAATAAACTTTAGATTGTTTTCATCAACTATCAATTATAACATGGAAATCTCTCCAGGTCAGTGGTTGTAGTTAAGTCACTGTGATATATTTGTAGTATATGTGTCAACAATCTCCCAGTTGGAAGAAATACTTTATAAACTATGCTGCAGTAAACATCCCCATGATGATACTTATATTTCAGTTCCCAAGAGTAGGCACTCTGGGCCAGGGTATGTTTATTATTTGTTTTAACACATATTTCCATGTTACATTCCTAAACATTTCTAAAACACACAATAATGTAAGTGAGCACCCTAATCTTTCACCTTGCTAATCCCTATAATTAATGGTAGTCACTCTTTTACCTTTTGACAATATGTGGAGTTAAATATTATTACTTTAATTGAAGTTTCCTAATTGCCACTAATGCTCCACATTTTTTTTCATATTTTTATTGGTCATTTGTTTATACTTTTCTATGAATTGCCTTTTATATCCTTTGTTCTTTTTCTATTGGTTGCTTATCTTCTATTAATTTATTGGGTTGGCCAAAAAGTTCATTCAGGTTTTTCCATAACATCTTACAGAAAAACCTGAATGAACTTTTTGGCCAACCCAATATAAGTGCTATTTATTAGCAATATTAATTTTATATTTGTCATTTTTGTTATATATATTTTTGTATCAATTTTCTAATAACGTGCATAAAAGTCACATTCACAATAGCATAAAAAACAGTAAAATACTTAGGCGTATATTTAATCAAGGAAGTGAAAGACCTGTACAAAGAAAACTACAATATTTTGATAAAGAAATTGAAGAGAATACAAAACAATGGAAAGATACCCCATGTTCATGGATTGGAAGAATTAATATTGTTAAAATGTCCACACTATGCGAAAGCAACTAAAGATTCAATGCAATTCCTATCAAAATTCCAATGGCATTTTTCATAGAAATATAA